AAAAACAAATAAACAAACAAAAATTTTGCTTAAGATCATCCAACAACAGTTTCAGCAATATATTGACAGGCAGAGGTTCAGATTGGATTTAGAGGAGAATGTAGAACAAGGAATATCATCGCCGATGCCAGATGGATCTTGGCTCAAAGCAGAGAATACTAGAAAGAGGTTTACTTTGATTTTATAGATTATGCCAAGGCATCCAACTGTGTGCACCATAACAAACCATGGACAGCCTTGGGAAGAACGGAATTCCAGAACACTTTGTTGTGCTCATGGAGGACTTGTACATGGATCAAGAGGGTAGGGAGGGAGGGGAAAAAAGAGGAGCTGATACCAAAGGCTCCAGTAGAAAGAAAATGCAAAAAAGAAGCAGTTTGTAAACCAGTAAGGGAATACTGCATTGTTTGAAAGCAGGAAAGGCGTGTGTCATAGTGAGAGTGTCCTCTCACCATACTTATTCATCCTGTATACTGAGCAATATTAAGAGAAGCTGATTTAAGTGAAGAAGAATATGGCTTCAGGATTGGAGGAAAGCTTATTAACAACCTGTGATAAGCAGATGACACAAACTTGCTTGCTGGAAGTGAAGAGGACTTGAAGCACCTGTTGATGAAGATCAAGTATTGCAGCCTTCAGTATGAATTAAAATTCAGTATAAAGAAGACCAAAATTCTCACAACTGGAATAATAGATAACATCATGGGTCAAAGGTTGAAGGTGTCAAGGATTTTGTATTGTTTGGAACCACAATCAGTGCTCATGAAAACAGCAGTCAAGAGATCAAACACATGTTGCATGCGGTAGAGCTGCTGCCCAAGACCTTTTCAGAGAATTGAAAAGCACGGTTGTTACTTTGAGGACGAAGGTGCACCTGATCCAGTCCCTGAGATGTTCAATTGCCTAATTTGAATGTGAAAGTTGGACACTGAATACGGAAGTCTGGAGAAGAATGGATGCATCTGAATTGTGGTGCTGAAGAAGAATACCGAAAGAACCATGGACTGCTAAAAGGACAAACAAAATACTTCTTGGAAGAAGTCTGGCCAGAGTGCTCCTTAGAGGCAAGGACAACAAGACTTTGTCGTACATAATTTGGACATACTGTCAGAAGAGACCAGTTCCTGGAGAAGGACGTCATGCCTGGTAAAGTGGAGGAGGAGCGAAAAAGAGGAAGACGCTCCGTGAGATGATGACACAGTGGCTGCCAGGCTGCACTCAGGCATGGGCGGCGCAGGACCGTGCACTTTCATTCTATTGCACAAAGGGTCGTTATGGGTCGGAACTGACTCGAGGCCAACTAACAAAACAATAACTGTCAGCTCAGAACACATCTTGCTGTTTCATGCTTCCTTCCTTCCACTGGAAACACCCTACATGCATGCCCTCCCCTTAGTCCTTCCTGCCAGCCCTCACTCAAAGGTCACAATCCACCTGCTACATCGTCTCTCCTGTGAAAGCTATGCCATTTTGGAAACACATCTTCTTTAGTGTTCTCATGATATAATGTGCATGCTTACATCTAGTCTTCTATCTAGCCAGATTTATTATTATTATTAATAATATTAATATTTTGGAAGGTCTTCTTTCTTTAAAATTATTTTATTGGGGGCTTGTACAATTCTTATCACAGTCCATACATACATCCATTGTGTCAAGCACATATGTACATTTGTTG